TACTGTACTCTTTCAATCAGGAAGTGAGGTTTTGCTTTGTAAAATTAGTGCAGGATCATTGTACAAGTATCGTGTCCCATTACAGAAATTGCTTCAGGTAATTTATAGTCCCAAAAGGGGAAAGAGGGGATTGTTGGTTGTTACTTTCCTTCTTGCATACACTGAGGATATTTATTATTGGTCTAGTGGTACTTTTCTGCTTTCTGAAGCACAGGTATTTTCTTTTCTCTCTTAGTCAGTGGATCTTACTATGAAAAAGTTGAAATACTAGGGTGGCCAGATGTCTTGCTTTACATGAGACAGTCCTCTGTTTGAGAGCATCCTCACTATTTGAAGATCTGTGCAGTGCAAATCTGGTTTACAGACAAAGAACCCTAAGAAGAGACAGCAAGGGCCTTGAAGTTACCATACTGAGCAGATACACATATCACTTGGGTCCCTGCCTTTCCCACTAATGTGAGATGTATTGTGTGTCTACCCTATTGAAATAATAGTAATAAGGGCAACTCTATAAATGAGCATATGACATTTTTATGCAAGTCTGTGTCTCCTTTGTCCTTTTTTTGGGATGTGTGTGTGATGCAGCTACCCTAGAGATGTTTCTTTGGAAAGCAAGGTTGCACGTTTTCTTTTCAAAATATTCCAACCTCTTTTTACTTAAGGAAGAAGAATTAGAACTGCTTTGGAAAAACCTCCTCACTCACAGTAATAAGTTCTTTGAAGTGGTCAAATAGACATCAGTGTTTCGGATGGCGCTTTTGGTTGGCTTTTCAGGAGGAACAAGGAGCTGCTATGAAAAGGGGGCCCCTGAAAATGTCCCAGTACATACCTGAAAAATGGGATTTCAGTCTCTTGGTCACCTATAAGATGCAGCTCTATATTCTTGGCTGTGCGTGCCTATGTCTGAGTGGGCATGTGTTTAAGCTAAGATGGTAATTACAGCTTTGGTCTCTTTGAAAGGCAATTGATACAATGCAAGGGTACATTTACACAGCTGCTTCTCCCCTTGGGGAATTTTTCTGTTGCCTGATAGTGGAAGTTTATGTAAAACCTATTTTTGTTAATGGTTCTAAGATGTGATTTGCCCACCACTCATCAGGCAAGGATCAAAAATCAGGTGTGCTGTGTTTATGGTGTCTGGACAAACAAACACATATTGAACTTATTCACAATAGTGGGTTCCATATAGCTCTCCGGTTTCTGTTGCAACCTCACTGCCCCAGCGACATTGCTGGTGTGCTTGCTAGCCGTGGCTTCAGAGAAACCAGTGTCATGGACAACTTTACATATAAGGACTGGCATGTAAAGGACAAGAGGTGCAGGAGCCAAGACCACTCGCAGATAACTAAAGCAGTGCTTGATCCACTAACCACTTCTGCCAATCCATGAGACTGAATCCTTTCTATCTGCATAGAAACATATCAAGCACTTAGTGCAGTTCTTGAAGATGCTACCCCAAGGGGTCACCAACCTTTCTGAGCCCATGGGCAAATTTGCAAAACTGAGAACTGCCATGGGCACCACACAAAGAGAAAAAGCTACCTATTGGTGACATTAGAGCACATGTTTCCATGGGGGTGGGAAAGGCGACCCTGTGGTTGCATGTGCACCTGCAGGCACAACAGTAACACTGCGCATAGATTTTCTCTGTAATCCCTAGAGCAGCCTAGTGACATAGGTCAGTGTTATTATTTGTAGCCTATCTGGTAGGATTAACTAACTGTAATGAATTAGACTTTCTCCCCCACTGATATGATAAATAATCTGTAACTCAAGTTTACATCCCTGGAGTGCCATTAGGGCAAATTACAAATCATGGATGCAGTGCCTTTGCCAGAGTGTGTTCTGTTCAATGGTGCACCTGGGAAATGTGGAAACTGGGCTTTGGCAAGAGGGAGGAGGAGAATACAGCAAATTATTACACATAAGCGCGCTGTAATCATACTGATTGAAGAGGAGTTGGCAAAGTGGGGAAGCCCTACACCCAGAGCTTATCTTCTAGAAAAAAAGGTGCCAGTACTCACCATTGAAGTTGCGTGTTGAGGTCCCCAAGCCACCCCCCAAATAGCTCACATCACACACATTATTTTTGTTTAAGGTTTTTGGCATAATTTTAGCCACAACTTTATTGAAATACATAAGCATGAGTGGTTGTTTAGGCATTGGTTAAGACTATATGTCCCCCCGCCTGGGGACAGAACTGACTTCCGGGCACCACCAAAAGCCAGTAAGGGAAAACAATATCGGGAGGAAATGGAGCTGAGTCACAGGCCCTCACCTCTCCCCACATGCTCCCCGGGACTTGCCGGCTCTAGCCCCTTTGCAGGGATTCGGGCGAAAAGATGGCAAGCCGCTAGATTCCTTTAATGGAATTCCCTTTCCGCAGCAACCATGGAGGGGCAGGCCCAGCCTATCCTTACCCCTCCTCCAACCAATTTATAACCAATGCCTAACCGCAACCTTACAAGTTGTGACGATTTGCTACGCAGTAGGCAAAAACCAAATGGCCCAGCCAATCAGCCAGATGGACAAAATTCCTACCAGGCCCCTGCCCCAAGAGCAGACGACCCCATGACAGGCATAGCAAGGTCGACGCAAAAAAACCCTTAATTTAGGGCGGGTGGGCAGGTGATCCGTTGCACGCAGCAAAGAGAAAGCTCCAGGCTGCGTGCAGAGTATTTAAAACCTTTTACCCCTCCCACCCAAATTGCAACATAACTTTTACCCCAGCAACCCAGCCAGCCAATCGTTGCCCTAGGCCCTCTTTAGGAATCCTGCCTGGCAACAGAGGGGTGGCTCGGCAGACCCCACCGCAACACGTGCTCTCCATGAGGGAGAACACGCTTTGTTACAGTACATGCCATACTTTTAACCAGTGCTTTGTCTTAAGGCAAAATGGTGCATACTCTTGAGTACCCTAAGAAAGAAAAGCACTAGGGGATAAGGGCCAAAAGACCTTCTCCAAGGAAATATCCTGCTCAGTACCTCCTTCGATGATGCTCTACCACAAAAGTGTACAAAGAAGGAGCACATAGAGAGCAGGTGGCAGATTATAATATGCCAAAGTGTGATGGGTGTGTGGAGGCAACTTGTGGTGGCTCTCTGGTCCTTCCTCTCCAAGAGGCACAGGTTCCCCATTCCTACTGCCAAGTGCCATTCACATCTTGCAAATAAATGCTGAGAGGCAGGAGTGCGGTTTCCCAGTGGCAAAAATGGAATCAGTACTCAAGGGGCTGGGGTTAGGGTCAGCTTCAGTGTTTTATCTGACAGCTTTGAAAAAAGCTCTGATAAAATGAGGAAAAAGCTCTCCCCTTCTGTTCATGGTCATAAGTATCAATGAGACAGAAACAAGGACTCTCAGTAACAAAACAATGCAATTTCTGTTTTAAAAATACATCAAACCTACTCACCTATAAACTGAAAACAAAGGAAACCTGGAAGCCATAAAATGGAACCGTTCTTAGTTTAAAATAACCTTTAAAAATTGTTCAGTATATAGGATTATATTTAAATAGATGGACATTTCTTAAAGAAAAAAAGCCACTCTAGCACTTAGTTTTGTTTTTATTGTAATTTTTTTTTTAAAGAAATCAAATTTCATATGGATCCATGATAGGATGTTTCAGAAAATCATAACGTGTTTTTGCCTGTAAAAGCAATGTCCTTTCTTGTTAATGCCAAGAAAACTTTTCCCCAAACACTCGTTCCCTGTTCAAGACACTGTAGCTGCTAATGAGGAAAACACTGCAAGTACCTCATTGAAATGTTTCCCTTTGTTTTTCTACTGGGAGTTTCCTCTGTAATAGCAAAAGAATCCCTGAGTATCAATGAGTCTGAAAGTGCTCATATTCTGCCAAGAATAAAGTTGTAAAGCTTTGTTTGCCAGCACTTTAAATTAATCTAAAATAATGCAAAGGGGAATTTGTCATCTTGGAAGGCTTTTTACAGCCTCGTCACTATTGTCTCAATTAATAAGTGTGTTCCATATCATTGACACGACTTCTCTCCTCTGCAGCCAATTATGACACCAATGGATGGCATCTCTCTGAGGAAGCACAATAAAGCAAATGTGTGTGGGGGGGGAGAGACAGAAATATATGATTGTGCTTAATTCTTTGCAGCATTGTGATGACTTCCAAAGATCCAGAAGCTGCATGGCAGCTTCCTTCCAACAGCATCACTTTCAGCTAAGCGCCAACCTGTCCCAACACGTCCATTAATTCAATGTGCAGATTAAAACCACAGTGTTTCATCTGGTTATGCAGACTAAGGCCTCTTCATTTTAGTGGAAATGAGGGGTGGCATCAGGGATCAGAATCACTGGGCGCATGCCAAGCCCTTTGTTAGGATCCAGAGTCAAGCATAGGTCAGCAACAAAAAACATGGTGTCCGTGAAATTAGATCTTCAAAGAAACAAAAACAGTGCAGGTCTAGTGATCCCAGCAACTCTTCCCAGTAGATCTTGCCCCAATACAGCAGTTGCAAGGACTGAAGGTCCCTGCCTTCCCACCACTCCTGATCTCCAGCGCCTTTCCCAAGCTTCTCCTGGAGGTTGCCTTAAGGGTTCCCCAGCTAGTGCCTTCCACAACTCCTCTGCATCTACAAAAGTGACCCCAGAGCTTCCTCAAATACAATTTGGAAACTGCAGCTGGTGCAGAAGTCACTGGACAGGGCAAGACGGTATGAACATATAACACCAACTCTGGCATGACTGCACTGGCTACCAATTTGTGTCTGGGCTCAATTCAACTTGACGCTTTGATCCCCCCCAAAGTTTTTTATTTGAGTTTCCACTGAAATGAGGCTGTATTTTAATGTTTTAATGTTGTATTTTAATCTTGTTTTTAGGTTGTATTTCAATCAATTGTTTTTATATCGGGTGTTAGCTGCCTTGAGCCCGGTCTTGGCTGGGAAGGGCTGGGTATAAATAAACATCATCATCATCATCATCATCATCAATTCAAAATGCTGGTTCTGACCTATTAATAATAATAATAATAATAATAATAATAAATTTTATTTATATCCCGCCCTCCCCAGCCAAAGCCAGGCTCAGGGCGGCTAACAACAAACAAATAATCAAACAATCAAATAATCCAACATTCTAACATTTCATTATAAAATTAATTAAAATCAAATTAATGGCAACCGTTAAGCAAAGTTCTGTGCAGGTTGCCGGAGGTGGGAGTCAGGCTGGGCCCTGACCAAAGGCCTGGTGGAACAACTCTGTCTTGCAGGCCCTGCGGAAAGATGTCAGGTCCCGCAGGGCCCTAGTCTCTTGTGACAGAGCGTTCCACCAGATTGGAGCCGCAGCCGAGAAAGCCCTGGCTCTAGTTGAGGCCAGCCTAACTTCTCTGAGGCCTGGGACCTTCAGGATGTTTTTATTTGCAGACCGTAGGTTCCTCTGTGGGGCATACCAGGAGAGGCGGTCCCGTAGGTACGAGGGTCCTAGGCCGTATAGGGCTTTAAAGGTTAAAACCAGCACCTTAAACCTGATCCTGTACTCCACCGGGAGCCAGTGCAGCTGGTATAGTACCGGATGAATGTGATCTCGCAGCGAAGACCCCATAAGGAGTCTCGCCGCGGCATTCTGCACCCGCTGGAGTTTCTGGGTCAGTCTCAAGGGCAGCCCCACGTAGAGCGAGTTACAATAATCCAGTCTGGAGGTGACCGTCGCGTGGATCACAGTGGCTAGGTCAGGGCGAGAGAGATAAGGGGCCAACTGCTTAGCTTGGCGGAGATGAAAAATGCCGCCTTTGTTATAGCTGTAATCTGCGCCTCCATAGAGAGGGAGGTATCGAAGATTACACCCAAACTCTTAACGGACGGTGCTGGCACTAATTGCACCCCGCAAGAGATGGGAGTTGCCCCCAATCCCATATCGTCCCGTCCCAGCCAGAGGACCTCTGTCTTCGAAGGATTTAACTTCAACCGGCTTCCGCGTAACCATCCAGCCACAGCTTCCAAACATCTGGTCAGTGTGTCTGGGGCCGAGTCAGGATGGCCATCCATCAACAGATAGAGTTGGGTGTCATCGGCATACTGATGGCAACCCAGCCCAAAACTCCGGACAAGCTGGGCGAGGGGCGCATAAAGATGTTAAAAGCATCGGGAGAGTATCGCACCCTGAGGCACTCCACACACCAAGGAGTGGCGGGATGACAATTCCCCCAAGCGCCACCCTCTGTCCCCGACCGGAGAGAAACGAGCGCAGCCATTGAAGGACTGTGCCCTGGATCCCCACGTCGGCAAGGCGGTGGTCCAGGAGTTCGTGATCAACCATGTCGAAGGCTGCTGACAGGTCTAGAAGAATCAGCAGCCCCGACCCGCCTCGATCCAGCTGCCTGCGGAGATCATCTGTTAGGGCGACCAGAGCCGTCTCGGTCCCATGACCAGCGCGGAAGCCAGACTGGAATGGATCCAGAGCCGATGTTTCATCCAGAAACCTACCAAGCTGTTCAGCAACCGCTCTCTCAATCACCTTACCCAGGAATGGAAGATTCGAAACCGGGCGGTAATTGGATAGATCTAAGGGATCTAATGATGTTTTCTTTAAGAGCGGGCGCACCACTGCCTCCTTCAATTCCCCTGGAAATATCCCGGTGCCAAGGGACAAATTGATGATATCTCCCAGGGGGGCCCGCACCTCGTCTGGACACGCTCTAATCAGCCAAGACGGGCACGGGTCAAGAGGACAGGTGGTGGGCTTTCCAGCTCGGAGGAGTCTGTCCACATCGGCTGGGGATATCCGATCAAAGTGGTCCAATACTGGACCCGAGGACAGTCGAGGGCCTCCAGTTCCTTTATTGTATCCAAATTGGCAGGGAGGTCATGGCGGAGCAACAGGACCTTCTCCGCAAAAAAGCTCGCAAATGCCTCACAGCTGTGTGTCAGATTGTTATTTAAATTTGGCTGTCCTTCAAGGGACGTTAAAGACCTAATTATACTAAATAATTGCGCCGGGCGAGAGCTAGCGGATGCAATGGAGGCCGAGAAGTAAGACTTCTTAGCGGCCTTCACCGCCATCTCATAGGTTTTCATAAAAACCCTATAAGATGTTCTTGAGGCTCCGTCACGGGCACCCCGCCATACTCGCTCTAGCCGTCTGAGGTCCCGCTTCATTTTCCGAAGCTCCTCGGTAAACCAGGGAGCCCGGTTTCTGCGGAGTCGCAGAGGGCGCTTAGGTGCGATCTCATCTATGGCTGCCAGGAGCTGGGTATTCCAGCCCTCAACAAGCTCAGTCAATGAGTCGCCAGGGGAGCAAGGTCCCGCAAGGCTTGACGGAATCTATCAGGGTCCATCAGCCTCTGCGGGCGAGCCCAAATCGGCTCGCCACCTAAGCAGGGTGGGGGTGGAAAGTCAATCCTGGCTTTCAGGGCGTAGTGATCAGACCATGGCACCTTAATTGAAGGAGACATGATCACATCTATACCTATGCCAAAGATCAAATCCAGCGTGTGGCCTGCTTGATGTGTGGGGCCTGAAACAAACTGGGAGAGCCCTAGTGTTGCCATGGAAGACACCAGGTCCAGAGCCTGTGAGGAGGGAGTGGCATCAGCATGGATGTTGAAGTCCCCCAATACCAATAGGTTAGGGAACTCCAAGGCCCAGCCGGCCACCGCCTCCAGTAGGCCTGACAGGGTGGCTGCTGGTGCGCTAGGTGGCCGGTACACCAGCCAGACAGCCAAGCTCACCTCAGAGCCCCACACTAGGCCAACACATTCAATGCCGGGGATCGATGGCGATGGTAGAGCCCTGAAAGGACAATCTTCCCGGATTAATAATGCCACCCCTCCCCCGGCCCACAGTCCGTGACTGGTGGAGGACGGAGAAACCCGGGGCGCCATCTCTCGTAAGGTAACTGTTGCCCCTTCGCGTACCCAGGTCTCCGTCACACAAGCCAGGTCAACCCCCTGCGAGGTAAAGAAATCTCGCAGAGTGGCGGTTTTGTTGCCTATAGACCTGGCATTGCACAACACCAGTGACGGAGGTGAGTAATCCTTGCTCACCCTACCCTCGTCCCTCGGGATGGGGCGCAGATTGGAAAGGGTACGAGCATATCCGTATCTCGATCCCCTTCGCCTATAACATCTGCCCCCACCACCATACCTCCCTCGCCCCTCCACGGTAGCAATCCCAAGCCTCATACAAGCCTCCATTTACAAAATAGAAAACCAAACCAAACTGAAAACAATTCTACCTAAGCAAAACCAATCCCCACCCCAAACCACAATAAAACAGAACAAAATAAAAATACATAGATAAAAACCACTGTTCACGGTGGTACAATAACGTAAGAAGTAAAAACACCTTTAAAATACTTTAAAATATATAAAAACATTTTTAACAATTGCTGCGGCAGCACCAGTGTCCTTAAAACTGTAGCGGAGGTGAGTCTGGGCCCCGCCCCTAGGCCAGGTGGAATCAGCCTGAAGAGGGAGCGGCCTTCCCCAACACTCACGGTGCAGCAGCAGCGATGTCCCAATGCCTCAGTGAGGCTTCTTAAAGCTGTGGCGAAGGTGAGTCTGGGCCCCGCCCCCTAGGCCTGGTGGAATCAGCCTGAAGAGGGAGCGGCCTTCCCCAACACTCACGGTGCAGCAGCTCAGAACCCCAGTGCCTCAAGGACAGCCTCTCCCCACATGAACCAACTCAAACCCTGCAATCATCACTCCCTCCATGGGAGTTTTGAAGTGTGGCAACACGAGATCAGGCCTTTTCGGTGGTGGCCCCTTGTTTTTGGAATGTTCTCCCCAGGGACACATACCTGGCACTCTATTTAATTTTTGGCATCAGGTTAAGACTTCTTTTTACCTTGCTTTTTGGACCTTAATTTGAAAGGTGGCATTGTGACCTCTGTTGTTGCGGTGGGATCTTTTAAGTCCTGCCTTTTATCTGTATAGTGGTATTTTTATATTTCTATTGGATGGTCTTAATTGATTTTAGAGTAAGTCTTTTGGGGTCACTTTGTGAGAAAAGCAAAAGAAGAAGACGAAGAAGAGGAAGAAGAAGAAGTAGTTCACTTTTTAGTTGGATACAGAAATAGTATGGTAATCCTACCTAGTTATTTTGGCACCAACATATGGTAAATCTTCCGCATCTTCCCTATTTTGGACTGTTTAGAATCAAATTCTATCAACTCCCTCCCCCCTTAAATACTTTTTAAAGAAAAAAAACAAAATATTAATGCATGCCTAGAGTCCCTCCCCCTAAATTTGATTTCCAGTAGACACCAACCTTGGTTAAAAATTATTGACTAACCTTTTCTCATGAGACGTGGCTTAATAGTATTAAACAAAACTGAGAAGGGAGGGAAAAATAAAGAAAAAACATATCATGGTTCCTGTGAAATATGCATTTTAAAAGATCATGTTCCTGTACAGCCAAGTTACTTTTTTTGTTACAAATACATGAAATTACCAGATTGCCCTGGATTTCATTTAATAATAAAAAAAGCCAGTGAGACACTGCATCATTAAGCATTGAATGAATATAATGTAACTATTGAAACTGCTTAAAATATTTCCTAACCATAAATTATTATCCAAAAATATTTTTCAAGCAGATAAAAAGAGTTGTCAATTCTGCATAGTGAATGCCTCATAAGGGGCTCATTTATGGTTGAAAACTGAATAAAAGCAGTAAATTAAGAACAGACGTAACCATAGAGAAGCTGTAATCCACTGCAGATTTCCTTGCTGAATGAAGTATTGTTGTGTGGATTTATCCTCCTTGCTTGTACAGTTAACCAGTCACATCTGTGGCCGGAGTGTTCTCTGTGCACACAGACAAGTTCGACTCAGTAACCGTGTAGCTCGCTCCCCCTCCCCACCGCAGCCACAATGAAATAAGCACATGTTGGATAACTGTGTATTGATAAAGTGCTAAATTAAGTGTCCGTCTGTTTCTCTGGACCAGGCTGCCTTGAAGGGCAAGTGCAAAACTGAAGCTCTATGGATGGGGAACATAAGGAAACAACAGCAGATTTGACGCTAGCCCAGAGTAGGTCTTGTTTACCAGTCCCTTGCCATGCTCCAGCGTTCCTGTTTGCTCTGCCTCCGCCTGTTACGCAGGATGGATGTTGGATGAGTTGAAAGCGTTCAGGAGAGGGAAAGTACGCACTTAGCATAAATATTCATTTACTGCCGTGCAAATACTTAGCTTTATAGGAATGTAAACTGTGGCAAGTTTGTTTGATTCACTACCTCTCCTCGTCTCTTCTGCATTGTTTGCCGCTAGTACACATAATAAGCACTCGAGGACAGGAGGAGGACATGACAGGGAGTCAATTTTGCCTTATTGCTCTCCATTTAAATGACACGATTATGCGCCCAATCAGATTTCTGTCTCAAAGAAGCTGTAGGAAGTGAGGCAGAGATGCACATTTTCCTCTCCGTCACCCCACCCCCTCCGTCCTGTGATTCAACTTTCTTGGAT